TTCAAAATTATTCCTAAAAAGCGTAAGATAAAAAAAGTCTGTCATCGTGTTTTAATCGCGGCAACGAAAAATCTCTAGATTTTTTTTCTCAATTTTGTCGCAAATCTTTCAATAAGGCTTTCGAATATGTCTAATAATGTCTTTTAACAGAAATATGTTTACATATTTCTTTTATAAAAAATACGTGAAGATAATATCGGTAACATTGTATCGGATATAGATAGATAATGCATACGAGGATATATTTGCAAGATTTTTACAAAGTAGAAAATTTCAAAAATGTTTGCGTATATGAATATCAGCGTTATTTGTTTTCCTCCCCTTCTTTCGAGTACTTATACCTTCCCTTTTTTCGCATGTTTACATAATCGTCGTATAACATAATCTCTTTCATCCCGTCATCAATTTTCTTGATCCAAATTGTCTCTTATCTAAGATCCCGTGTGAGCGTGTATCTGCAAGATGTGATGGTAACCATACAGCGTTTTATAAAATGCGCAAAAAATGATATATACACGCCGTGTAGATTCATGAAAAAAAAAAGAAGAGTTAAAATATTTAGTGTGCGAATCTATTACGATAGAGTATGAACTTCAAAGCTTGACCATCTTATTTTCTGATGCGCAAGATCGAGAAACTTCAAAACTAAAAAAGAAAAAAAAATAGAAACAGATTGTAACAGAAATCTTTAATTTTTAATTGCCGTTTCTCCGATGTTTATCTAATCTTTTTGAATGTTTTGCTTGTCTCTATCTGTATTCGACGTATGTATACTTTGAACGAGTGTTCCTTTTTTTTGAATAGTTATTCACGATCCTGTACTTTGTACTGTGTAATTAGTTGCAATTTACAAAAAATTAGATCCGAAACGTAATAAAACGGGGTGCACTTAATTGCCTTAATGCAGGATGCCTGAGAAATTAATGGAGGAATCGACAGCCGTCTTTGAGAAGCGGATGTGCCTGCATTGCAAAGTCTTTGCGCATGATGCTCCGTGATGAAGTTAATACTGTACTGAGCTAATCTTAATAAACGTATGCGTATGTAAAATTATCAAATTGCGAATATTGAGCGAATTTATTGCACCGTTCTGAACTGATTGTTCGAATCCGGAAGTTTGTGTGTTCCAGGAACGAAGCAAGACTCTAATATAAGATCTAATTTCTTGATTTTTATCTTTTATCATCAATTTCTATAATCGAATACTTTCTCTAAATTGAATCCAAGACATTGCTAGATTCCTTGTTTGTGCGCAAGAAATTATGTTTCCCTTGTTTCCACGTCACTTTTCCGTATTGTTGAACTTTATCCTTTTCTCTTCATTCGAGGTGTTTCTAATATTGGTGTTCGCGGTGCAATATGTCATTATTACAACATACCTACTTGAAAAATTTTACAGCAACATATACTTTTTTCTAAATTAAAAGACATTTGTTCTTTTCAATTATTGTCGATCCGATTTATGAATTTGATTGCGAGGTAAACTATATAAGGAAAAATTTGGGATTTCACGTTTATGCAAATACATATATCGCGATTGTTGTAACGAATGCATCCCAAGCAGAATGGAATCGAGCGCAAAAATATCCATATAGTCTTCAAACGAAAAGTGCGCAAACGACATTTCCTTCCCGTATTCCTCTTTTCATCGGATAAGATTATCTTTTCTAATGAATAATATTTTCATTTATATTTTACATATTGTATTGTTTGTTATCATATAAGTGAATTATATAATACAGATAGATAGATGTACACAGAAACGGAAGTGCACGTGTTCATATTCGCAAATGCGCATGTGCACGAAGAAAATCTAAAGTAATGATGCAGTTATGAAAGAAAAAAATATATAATGGAATCAAACAGAGAAAAAGAAATTATGAAAAATAGAAGCGAGAAATAGAGCTAAGGAACCAACATTCGAAAAAAGATTTTTTTTTAATCATGATAATTTATTCTGATTGTAATTATCTCTTATTATCGTACCATTTTTTAACATTAATTGATCATTGATTTAATAGTTGATTTAATTTCTAAGATTATACGTTTAAATAAAAATTCGCAGTACAACGTAATACTTAATTGTAATATATCAGATAATTATTTTAAAACAAAGGAAATGTCATAGCACGCATGTCGAGTAGAAATTAACCGAAATCGCGCTCATTCGAAACAATTACTGTGTACTGTAAACATGAGAATTCTTTTATTCCCATGTGTACATATATATTCTCTCCATTAAAATGTTTCATTTGATGTTATATCTATACTGCAGTAACTGCTGCATAAAATCTGCTATCATCAAATGGAAGAAAATTAAGTTACCTTTCTCGTGGATTATTTTCTTTATAAATTAAAATGATTTTGAATACCTCATTTTTTTTTAATTTCACGAATTAATGAAAATGGTCGGCATACCTGCACGAAATTGTCAAGAGCAGATATAATGTATATAGAATATAAACAATATAAACAAGTATAATATTTTGCGTGAACGATCACACGTGAAAACGATGACGTGATGACGATGCATGGAGAGGATCGTGCATCCATCGCTGTGTTAGTCGAATTCGTAGCAATGCGATATTCGATGTCGTCCTTTTATAAACGGAAGAACAGGGAACGATTTGACGAAGAGAGAATATTGAGTCATTTTGTTCTAATTAATGTAACTATATTCCGCTTTTAAACTAGTCTTGTTTGACTTCGAGAATAAGAGACATAACAAAACACAATTGTGAAAGATAAAAACTTCCTGTTTTCATTCCGGACAGGCTTGTGATCAAGAGTGAGAGATTTTAAATTTTAAATTATATATATATATATATCGAATTCTGGAATTTTCAAAAATTCTCGTTAAATTCTGAGATTTTTAAATGTTAAAACGTTAAATTAAAAATTTACTCTCAAGGATTTTCTTTAACATTGATGAAGCTTCTTTCATATCATCTATTTCTGTAATTCGTATTATGGATAAACAAATCGAAATTCCAATAAATGTAACGAAATTCCAATAAATGAAATGTCTATCTCTTTACATCAATAATTCACTCTTGTTCACGACTTGGTCCCGCAATTGATCGCTTAAGTGCGAGGATTGATGTAATTTCGATGTGAGTTCGATTTACTGCTGTTTTGAAAAATACAAGAGATTTTTGGAAGTCTGAACTCAAATGAAATTATGCCAATTTTAAGCGCCTAAACAATTACCTGATTAAAATGCATTTTGCAGTTAAAAATTTTGACTTTCAATTAATTTCAGTAGCGTGTTTCCTCTCACGAGCCGTAGTCAAAAAGAAAAAATGATATGCGAAAGGATCTTAAAAAAACTTATGTAATAGGTATATAAACGGTAGAAAAGAGAGAATACGCTAATGATGTAGTTGTTGATCCCCCAAAAAAGTTTTTAGATGCAAGTTTGCTATTATTTTGCTCTTTTGAAGAAAAATGTAATAATGTTATAAACGATATCCAAAGAAAAAAAATCTCGGACGAATTTATGTCTGGGAAAAGTTTTTCTCTTCTATTTATAAAACATAAAAACAATATGAAGCTCGTTTCCTTCGATGGGATGCCTTAGTCTTTAAAATGTTCAAAATTGACTTATATTTTGATCAATACTGTGGAAAGTGATTAAGCCGTTTTTATCACATTGAACTTCATCTGTTTTAGGGAAAGAGTTTCATGATTGAAAGTTCAACTTCTATGTATGTGAAAGTTTGAAAAACGATTACAGGAAGCATCTCTTCATTTGGAAGATAATTGTAACAAGTATACTAGTTGCATCGCATATGATACTTGTGCGATAGATGATGGTGTGTTAATTAAAGTTTGCACGTTTTGTCACCCATGCAAGAATTATCCTTTATGTGACACTTAAGATCTCGATCGGACAGAACTTTTTGTAGACAAGAAGAAAGTAAACTGATCATGTCATTTCTCGAGGAAGCAGTTTAATTAACGGCGAGCGATGGAATAAACTCTTTGTAATCACGAGTTTTAAATCGCCGATTAAGCAATGAACTTCTTCACCGTCGAGGATTTACGAAGCTTTCTCTTCAGACATGCAATTTTAAATCAGGAAGAGAAGAGTAGCTTCCAAGCTGTCGCTTAGGGCTCTTTCTTCATCTTTGATTGAGAGTGCGTAATCACGTGAATTGTCGTATGTTAAGGAAATTCCTCATGAATTTTTACCTGACTTTTCGATCGACGATGTTACGAATACATTCATTGCGAATGCACGAAAGTGAGAGCGTAAATGAGCGAGAAAAAGAAGAAAGAGAATCTACATTGATAAATCGAGAACTATTGTGCGTTGACACAACACTCTTCGAAGCGGAAAGTATCGATGAGCATTACTGTTAAGTTCCAATAGAGAATATCCGAGTGAAGTCTTACATGTAATGATTATATCGAAATGTAAATTCTGTTTGGTTGTGTATTTTATGTTATACGCCTCAGATGCTGAATATAATGGAAATTCAATCAAAACGTGTTTAGTAATTCTTCCATTTTGAATAATTTATTCTTTTTTTCTTGAATCTTTTTCCTCAAGAATAAAATATCATGATTTAATAATGCATTTGGATAAAAAATCGAGATAGGCTTCAATCTAATTTAAATTTTTTTCACTAAAAAGATCTTCACAAATGGAACACACATTTAATCTTTTAAAATTGTATATTTTATTTATGTTGTTTTTATAAAATGTGTAATTATATATACATATATAAAATGATATATGTTGTATATATTACTGCAATAATTGAAATTCCTAGTGTCGTTTCCTGTTGATTGACAAATATTTTTTTAAACGTCCCGCGCTTATGAGCAACATGTAATACGCAGCTCATCTGTGATAGATATCTATGATAGAAATAAAGTTGCATTGATTTTGCTATTCGGAAGGAATATGTGCGTCATGTTTGAACGTTAATTAGTATGTTGGCAATTAAGTATTTAGATTAATTTAAAATTTAATTTCAGATTAATAAAATTTTAAAGACAAAGAAATTTGAATATTGGTGCACTGTAATTTATAATTGTGGAATATTCGCTGTACCACAGCACATCGTGGTACATCACACAGAGTATTTAGATAACGAAGATCATTTTATGTATGAGATAACTTAAGATACCATTTAGATACGTTTTGTGGGCACATGGTTCGCTCGCTTGTTCGAATAGCCAGATTGTTGCATAGTACTCCGAGGATGGCGTCGCTCGAAAGCGCCAAGAAAGCTGCGGCTTATAAAGCCATAGATGAGTATGTCCAGGTACATTGATTTATTTTAGAAATCATATAATTATTAATCGCGTTGTTTTTCTATTGGTTGAGGTTATGCATATGCCGGTGAATTATTCTTTCAGAACAACACTGTTGTCGGAATTGGCAGCGGTTCTACTGTGGTTCATGCTGTTCGTAGACTTGGTAATGACAATATGTAATATGATTATGTTAAGTAATTAAGTGATTATGTTAAGTAAGTAAATTTTTATTAAAAAATCATATTTCAAACATTACAATCAAATCATCTATTTCAATATTACTTTGAAGTTATTATATTCTTTTTGAATAAAATTATAATTCTATTATGTTTTTTCTCTTGTAATTTACAAAAATATTATGTAAGACTTTTTATATTTAGCTGAACGTGTCGAGGAAGAAGGACTTAGTGTAGTTTGTGTCCCTACATCGTTTCAAGCTCGTCAACTTATAATAGAGTATAATTTAACTTTGGGTGATTTAGAAACTTATCCACAGGTGATTCTTAATTATTCTTCTTATATTAGATATATATTTCTTATTGTATGTTATATATATATATATGTTATATTTTTATAAACATAATTACAGCTGGACTGTGCAATTGATGGAGCAGATGAAGTTGATGCTGAAATGAATCTTATCAAAGGTGGTGGAGGATGTTTATTACAAGAGAAAATCATTGCTTCCTGTGCTAAACGGCTTATTATCATAGCAGATTATACGTAAATATTGTTCTTAGCATCAATTTTATATAATAGTATGATCGTTATTACAAGTATATGTAACTATGCATATAGTTACATATATTTGTAATAACAAATTTTGATAATACAATTTATTCTTATATTTCAGAAAAAGTTCACAAAAGTTTGGCGAACATTATAAAAAAGGAATTCCTATTGAAGTTGTTCCTATGGCATATGTACCAATTCAACATAAAATTGAAAAGACTTATGGAGGAATTGTGAAAATCAGAATGGCTGTGGCTAAAGCTGTAAATATATTTTAATTGGATTCTAAATTATTATAAAACTAAGTAATATGTAAATTTTATATTATTTGTACAGGGTCCAGTAATAACAGATAATGGTAATTTTATTCTGGATTGGCATTTTCCTGTAGACATGACTGATTGGAACAAAATTAATGAGGAAATATCTTTAATACCTGGAGTCATTGAAACTGGCTTATTTATAAGTATGGCTGAGAAAGCTTTTTTTGGTATGCAGGATGGCAGTATAAAGGAACAAATATTACATATTTGCAAGATTTAATGTATGAAGATTATATTTTATCATTGCTGAGAAATAACTATCAAGTGACTTATAGATAATGTCAAATGAAGATAACCTTTCTTTACAACTTTGCTCTTTGTTTTGCTATGTACGTCATTCCAATTGCATTATTGCTGCTTTTTATACATATTTTATACATTTCTTCTATTGTTATGCACTTTATACATATTAAACTATTTTTTTTAGTATTATGTGAATTTACAGTTATTTTTAAATAAAGTATATTTTAAAAAAATCAATTCTAAAAATACATTTTATAAATACAAATAATGTAATTTTTAAATGTAAACTGTTTACCTTGAAGTACAAAGTTGTAAAATCAAGCTGAAAATAAATTTATTATTATATATAGTATTTATATTTATGTTTTTAATTTTATATTTATACATAAAACATACATAATTCTAATACTAATTCTATGTAAATAATAACACGAGATTATTACCTATAATATATCTATTTAATATGTAATATATCTAAAAATACATTCATTTAGATGAATTAGATGTATTAAATATATTTTATTTTAAAATATTTTTATATTTATATTTATCTATATTTTAGATTATTCAGATATATAATTTTTCGAATATTAACACATAACATATAAAAAGAAAATCTATTCCAATTATATATGTATCTTTAAAATTTATACCATATAATAAGGAAAAAATTTATGAAATAATAATTTATAATATATCAATACTGTTTACATTAAACATGATTATGTGATATGTAAAAATTGAATACTTTGCATTATAAAATAAAAAAAACGTCGCCCGAACAGGGACTCGAACCCTGGACCCTCAGATTAAAAGTCTGATGCTCTACCGACTGAGCTATCCGGGCGATCAAGAAAATTGATGGTTAATATTGTATTCTATTTTGCTCAATTGAATGATATGTATATATCTATATTATATTTCATAATATAATAATTAATTTTGTATTAAATAAAATCTATATAATATTTATTAATAAAAAAGACAATTAAAAATCAAAATAATATGAGTTGCTTGGTTTTCATCTTTTTCTTAAAATTAAAAAAAATTCATTCTGTAAACATAATTGTTTTCTAAATTAATTATTCTTACAATTTTGGAATTTGTATTGTTATTTATTTTAATATAATTGCCACAAAATATGAATTGAATATACTAAATTTAAAAAAATTTATATATGTATGTAAATGTTCTTTGCATCTTCTTTTTAATTTGCTTAAGCAATGAACGCTTTGAAAATCACCGTGTTGAATGCTTCTGTATAAACGACTGACTATGAACATATTTATTTTCTTTTATGCAAGATGGTTATATATTTTCCATAAGACGCATCTCTTATTCATAAGTGAACTATCATCCAGTAGCTATAAGCAGTGATTTACTGTTTCGCGCCGTTAATTTAGCAGCAGCGTTTATACCTATCGTAAAATTAGAAATCATCTTTATTTAAATAAATCGGTGGTTTCATTACACAATTTATTATTCAGTATTTATTCATGATATAATTATTGTATATATCTTCCGATAAGGAAAACATTTTTTTAATAATTTAGAATTAAATATTAAGGAGAGAAAGAAGAACACATGCTCAAAGACAATTTATCTTATTAGTTAAATAGATAAATCATATTTATTGTTTCGTTTTTTAGAATTACAAAAATCATACACAATACCTTTATCATCTTAACATTGAGTAATTAGTTAATTGTTTGGCTGCCAAAAAAAATTAGCATTCTGTTAAACTAGCGATTTTTTATTACTATCTCAAATAAAATTTAATTTTATTTTTTTTAATTCATCTCTTCTCTCTTTCTTTCTCTCAGCGGCTTTTGTTAATCTTATCAAAAATTTTGTCGGCAGCAAATATGTTAACTAAAAGGAAAAGTGAAAAAAAAACATAAACAGCCATTGACCGACCAGGTTGAACGACCTAATCGTAACTCAGCGGGTTCTGATGTAAGAACGGTGTAAGTACTTAACTCTGGCTGTTTTTTCTATGATTTTTATACGGAGACTCTTATCGGCTGACTCACTAGACTTCGTTTCCTAGCATCGATTTAATCGACTAATCTTTTCAGTTCTGATACCTTCGCTTTCAATTTTTGCATAGTTCAGGTTGTTGTTTGTACGCATAAATACATGATAAATCAAACCTTAGAAGGAGATCTACTTACATTGTCATATTGTATAAATCATGCATATTGTATAAATCGAAAGTAAAATGTTTTTTATTACTATTGAAATGTAAATTCTGTTACTTGTCATGCTATTACGACATCAAATGTTTCTTTTACTTTTAATTAGCTTGTCAAATGTTCCGTCGGTAGAATTTTACGAAAACTTTGTAAATTTATGCACATCCGAGATAGTAATTTGAAACTAATACATTGTTTTTAGATTTCTGCTTAAAAAATCTAATATATTACAAAGATCTCATTTATGCTATCATGAATGAATACTTTATTAAATCTTATGAGATGCACTAATTACCGAACATAAAATAAAATTGAGATCAATGTTGATTAAACAAGAAACAAATTCGAAAAAAACAATCTTTTAATAATATTTTTACGTATAACGGCTTCAAAATAAATCGAAATTAGATAATATCTCTTGAAACAATCGACATTTCTACACCTCCACATACTGATATTTCCAGAATTTATACTGTACACGTTCAATTTTTACTTTGTACATAGTTTTTCGATGTAAAATTAAATTTTCTACAGACTACACTGCAATATACACTGCAATTTTTACGTAAAAAATATCAATCAAATTATCATTGTATTGCGATGAATTTGGATACTGCGTATCGAATCGTTTTGAAATTTGCAACCAATTAGTACAGCATCATAACGAAGTGCGAGAGAACGAGAATTCTTTTGCAGGTGGTACGCAATAAAATTTCAAATAGTCGAGATGCGATGCTGCATCAATATTGTCATCGACACCAACGTTAAACCGTCTTATGACCTATGACAACTTATGATCCGTGGATCTTAAGGGACAACATGAATTATTGGACATGCCGAACTGCATAAGATGTACATTTTGCGAGTAGTCACGGAATTCGGAGTTCAGATGTAATCTCTAAAGGATAGCTATGCAAAAGTTAATATTATGTGTCTTCTGAATGAAGAAATAATCTAATTTTAATTAAAAAATAACTTCCAATGTCTTTTATAATTTTATTTATATCCAGCATGTTACATATAACGTATATGTTAATTGTAATTTTCTACTCAACAATGTAACTGTTATATAATACATGTGTTATGTAACAGTTACGTTATTGAGTAGGAAGTTACAACTAACATATGCGTTACATATAATATTGTGCTTGCTGGATAAAAAAATTCTAGATAAAAAAATTTTAAATTAAATAATTGATTATTTATATTAAATTCAAATATGCTAAAATTAAAATAAAAATTTTATTTATTTGACTTAATTTTTTAAAACAGATAAAATCAAAGAAAGAGAGAGAAAGAAAGAGATTATATTTATAATTATAGAATATCATGATACAAATTTATTAATAAAACATGTACTTTCATCTTTTTATTAAAAGTAAAACAAAATAAAAATCTCTAATCGCGCACCCATGCAAAGTTCTTTAGTTTACATCTTTACCTAGCCGAGATGTAACAATGGAAAAAAGAGGATTGTCTCGAAAGGGTTAAGCCGGATGTGTAGTCCGTAAGTTGCCTACGAAATTATAGGTCTGAAATGTATTCTTGGTGAAGAAGGGGTTTTCGGAGTGTGAAATATGATCGTCGTGCGCGCTCTTGCGGTCATGCGTTCTCCAGGCGCTTGCATCCACCCCCCTGGCACTTACCCTCCAATGGAAGGGATTGGCGGGGATTATATTTGAAGAGCGACCGCGCGATTTCACCCCTCAAACGAGAGAGAGAAGCCACGGCTTCAACCGCGCGCGACGACCCTTTGGCAAATAAACGCGTATTCTGTATTGACAGTTGATCGAGAACGTAACTATTTCGAAGAGGTGCTTGCTTCAAAGTGCTTGCATCTTGGAGAATTCGGAGATTCTACAAACCGTTCGAAGAGAAGATCACGCTATGAAGGTTGGTCGTGTTTTTCATAACGATTGTAATGAAATAGAGAAAGAGAGAACCACCATAATATCAACACTAATTTCGGATAAGTCTGCAATGATCGAGATCGATTTAATCGCTACTACTTTTCAAATTTTATAGTATTGTGCTTTGATATAATATTAAATTATTTGTCAAAAATATATTTTTTAAATTATAAGTTAAAATATTTTTGATACATCAATATTTAATATATGTGTGGAGAGAAATATATTTAGATATATTTATATTGATTTATAAAGATTTTGCAAAGTGACTTATTATACATAAAAATGTAGAAAATAAAACTTTTTTATTATTAAAGCATAACTCGAAGAGAATTTTTATAATAAAAAAATTGGTTAAATATATCTATTTTATTGAATAACATATATATGGTTCAATTCATTTCAGTGCATTTATACCTATTTTTATGCATTTAATTTGAATATATTTTTATATTTTGCAATTTTATTAATTGTTTGTAATTGTGATTTATATAATCAAATAATCATATGTTATATAATTGTGTCATATGTTAAATAAATCATATATAAATCATATATTTATTTATAAATATATATATATATATATATATATTTATTTATATTTATATATTTATATATATATATATTTATAATATCTATTTATAAATATTGCTTAATAACACAAGCTGATTATCTTTTTAAATAATATAAATCTGCAAAGACTTTATTAATTTCGATAAACATGATTATGTGATGATAATATTAAAAGTTCAAAAGTACGGATTAAATTTCATATTTATATATCGTTCATATATATGAACGATAGAATTTTATTTTTATATAATTCAAAGAGAGCTGTAAAATTTTAATTTATATTTCAACAAAGATTTAATTTACCAATACATTTAACATTAACACAAAGATACTTGGAAAGATAATAACATATGCTCTAATAAATCTAGGTGGAAAAATTACTCTTGACTAAAAAAAATACGCAAATGTTGAAGTTAAATGCATATCTTATGATAATGGAACAATATTTAACATATGGCTACTAGTGAGCACAGTATAAAATAACAAATGTTACCGATAATTTTTACAAGAACAGTTCGCATATTGAATACCATGGATAATAACGCAAATCTTATTTTTTTACTCCCATATTATGCAAACCAATTGTAATTTTCTGCAATATCATTGAAAGAAATGTTAATACATGCGAAATCATTATTAATTATCTCCATTGAATTAATTAAACCAAATTGCATACGTGTCGTATGGCATTCCAAACAACGTAACAACTTCAATCGTTAATTAACCATAATATGAAATTGATCTCGAATGTTTAAGCAGCTTAAGCATCGGTTCTAGAAATCCTCTATAACGCTTATGCAACATGAACATTAAAAGTCATACACGCGGGATATACATCATTTGTTTGTTAGTCATTATTTTTATTATATCATACGTAACGTAGTTAGTATGGAAAATATCCAGTTTTATGTGTTATTATCATGTTTCGTTATACAGATTATTAAATATCTTTGCTGTACTCTGGCCTGTATATGCCTGTTGAAGGTGGCAAACACTGAGGTTTCGAGAGACAAGGTAAAATACACATTTCAATAATTTATTTATATAATTTAAAGCGTTTCAATAAATTCTTGTTAAATTATTTCTGCAATTTGTAAATTATTATATTTATTTAAAAAAAATAGTTATTTTTTGATTAAAATTTAATTAAATCAAACAACATATTATAATTATAATTAAACAAATTCTCCAAAATCTTTTAAATATGATTTTATTTATTTTACATAAATATCAAATAAATTAATAAAATAATAATAGAAGGACCATTCTCTATATAAAATCAATATTACAAATATTCATTTAATTTTAATATAAAATATTTTGAAAAAATAAAAATAGCTTTAATAAAATCGAGAGGACAGAATTCACTTTTACAGCTCGAGCGGCAACTTCTAGACGCCCTTACGGAAAAAACAACCAGACCAAAAAGGCCATTTTGCAATGCTTTCACAGGTAAGAAACAGTTATCAATGATAGGTTTTTAGTAATTAATATTACTAATATCAACATTTTATTTTTAAATAATTTTAAACGTTTTCTAAAAAGTGAATTTTTTTTATTTATAAAAACATTTGTATGATATAAATTATATGATAATAGCATCCTTTGAAATTTTAGTAACCGATAAAATATTTTCAATATCTTGTGTAGGATGCGGCAGATTTTTTTCGGACGAAAGAAGAGTGAAGAAAAAAGGAACTTTCATTCTGCAAGATTTACCGGACTTTCGAGCGATGAGCAACGTTCAGCTTCCGGTTTCTTTATACAGAGCATTGCTGAACGCCGACAAACAAAACATTTGGAAAACGATGGATCGCGAAGAATACAATTACCGATTACAACAAATGCCACGAGTTTATCTTTCGGGTCAAATGCCTCTACGTGACACGATGGAAAGCTAATTTTAACGGAACACAATCTGATGCATGGGCGCCACAAGAATTTCTAACAGATGGAACGTATCTTCTCATTCTTAAATGCATAATACAAACTTCATTTATGATTATATCAAATATCTGATTAGAATTACATTAATGAAATTGTAATGTTTTAATTGTAATTTATTTCTTCTTTTGCAACAGAATGTAAGTGCATCTTTTGCATTCATTATATGGCGCCCATATGTGTCTTAATATTTATTTTTATTTTATTGCCTTATTGTAATTAAAGAAATCTACATTTGAAAAATTATACAATTATATGATATTTTATTTTATATACAACTTCTGAGAAATTTTACCGCTACAAATGTATTATTCACGAAAGAAGCATATAAAAATATAATCAGTATAATATTGATGTTAGCTAGTATTAGCTTAAAAATATTTATTTATTTTACGAAAGCTTCGATTATCATTTATTTATATCTTATCCTTCCTCGATAAATATTTTAATTAATTTGCTAAGTAACTTTAAAAATCACATATTTTTTAAATTGTTAAATTGGATTGTTAAATTAAATCTGGATTATGTTCAATAAATTATGCAAAATTTATTATCTAGTTAATTAATGCAAGATAATGACTTTATTGACTTTGCTCTTTCTCATTTTTTCATAACAAATCATGATATAATATGCGGTTTAATAGCAGCAAATATATTGATAACATTGCTTCGTAATTACACTTATCTTAAAGAGTTTACAAATAAACGACAAGTTTTATTAGCACACTTCCATTCCACATATACCTGGTGTTTCCTAAATATCGTTGAGACGCGGTTATTATTAATGATTTTGATAGAATTACACGTCTGGGAATACTCAGTCCGACGCATTCCGGATTATCTGCCGTTCTTGGTCTACCCCAGAAATCTTCCGTACAAAGCGTAATTGGATCCCAAATGCGAGATCGTCGATCCTCACGTGCGCCTTCCAAAGAATGATCTAATACCTGTTGGATTAAATTATGTCAATAAATATTAAATGCCGCATTTTGTTGTATAAATTTTAAATTATATTAAATTTTATAATGTATTAAATTTAATCAGATAATGTAGCTTTATTAAAAAATGATTTCCAAGAAATTATTTATTATTTATTATTTATTATTTATTAATTAATTATTCTACTAATTCTATATTATTGTTAAAACAATACATTTCTATTTTTAGATTTCTATTTTCTATTTTTAGATATTTAATAAATTAAACAATAAATAAGTTATAATTGATATTAAGTACATAATTAATTTAGTGGATTAATTTAATGTTTGTGTATTAATAATAAATTTATCAATTTTATCATTTTTATTTATTAATTTTAAATAATAAACTATTTATGCAAAAATTCAATAAAAAATACTCAAAAGTTTAAATTAAAACATTAAATATGAAACATAAGATAGAATGCAACGAATACTTTATTTGTTAAAAAATTTGAATTATTCTTCAATACTTTTTAATCAAAATTGTACATACAAAATATATCATCTGAATATTTATCTGAAAAAAATAAAATAAAATAAGAAAATAAGACAGCTCCGCATGATATTGATTTTATCTATCTCTTTTATAAAATACGAGCAGCAAAGAATCTTATGTAGTCGTAACTTTCTAATTTCGTTTGAAATGATTCGATCGCGTCAGAAAGGTTCCTCTGTCTTCGTAAATAACTGCGACGAGGATTTGATACGACATCTCGACGCAATGTTTCTTTTCGTCTCTCCACGTCCCCGGGGCCTCTTTTGTGCTTCGCAATTGCCTTTTTCGCGATTCGAAAACCCCCTACGAAATTGTATCTTATTCGGCGTTACTAATTTATTCTCGGGACTATTCAATTCATAAGTTTCGATCGTCCTATACGTACCTCGAGGCGGATTCTGTATGGAAACGGCCACGCAAGAACGGAATCGTAACGACCACGAGTTAATCCAACACCTACGAAGACCGTGCCGTCGGGAAAATATTTCGGAGTAATTTTCAAATACATGGCGTAACCACTTTGACCCGCATAGAAGGTAGAACTGCGCATCGAACGACCGGTCTGCCAGTTCATCAGCATCATATTGAAGTTTTTTACCTGCCAATAATAGATGAACGCCTTCACTGAACCTAGAATAAGAGTGGCCTGATTTCATTTTTGTTTTTATTTTATCTTTCATCTCATAATTGTTATAATATGTTCCTATATTATTCACATTTATTATCTCTTTTGTGATTTTTATATAAAAAAATTTAAAAATAGAAATTTCCATGATATTATTAGATATCACATCTTTCAATTTATGTAGTCGAATTTTTTTTGCTATTACGATATTTTTTGATATATATAGTTCAACCTTTAAAGTATAACTTATATTACAAGATGAAAACTTTAATTATGAAACTAATTGAGGCATCGAAAATTACTGACCTGAACTACGGTAACATCAGAGAGTAAAACCTCATGTTTCAATAAATTTAGAATAAATTTACACCAATATGTATGTACTTTGAGGATTAACAGTCAAATTATATAAAATTAATTTTTAAAAATTGACTATTTTATTGATTTTTATACTGATTTTTGTGTCAAATATATCAATTAATACGCTATCATCAAATTTTCATTAAAAAAGATTAGTATCTAAATTCATTAAAAGATTTATTAATTTTGTTTTAAAATATTTTAATTATATTAAGATATTGATTTCAGTTATATTTATCAGTTATATATAATTTAATTAATTTCATATAGTTTATAGTTCAATAATAAAATTTAACTACAAATTTAACAGCAATCGTATTATATAAGTATTACTGCTTTCTCAATAGATTACGCAAAGCTTTTATTATTCAAACGCGTCAGAGTTAATCACTGTACTGCAATTCGAAATAAATCTCAGTACTTCGTTGTACTATTCATTTCGTTTAAATCATGTTTATCCTGACTAAGCTTCAGCTTTGTTGTCCTATGGACAAGGCGAACTCGCCTTTCCTCCCCCACGATGCAGAATCCATTTACATAAAACCATGGATCTTTTACATACAAATGTTTAGCTTAGACTCTGAAGTAACAATGTATATTATGCAAGAAGTGCAAGACTTCTGCACGCGTTATCCGCATTATATTTTGGGTTATTATTCTAAAATAGACTCACATACACGTATGATAACACATACGAAGCTGAAATGTCACGTTTTGCGTTACTTTAGAAAGTACGTTATTATGTAAGTAATAACTCAAAATAAAGCAATTTAATTTTTTTATATAGGACTTAAAATGAAATTGATGTATAAGCATTATTTGTTTATTCGGAATTCTAATTGAAGTTTTGATAATCATTCAATAGTAATTATTAAAATTTATACTAAATAACATTTGTAAAATTATGATTTTAAAGAAAAATTCATTCATAGTTTATTTTATGACATATATGAACTTTTTCGTAATAATTAATATTAAATTACTAACTTAGAAAATTTCTCTTATAATTGTTGTATAAATGTATAATTAATTAAAACTTAATAACATTTGTAATTGTTGCAAGATTGTTCTTTTGCCAGCAAGTCCAATAGTACAGTAATATCATTTATATGCAAGATAGGCTATGGTAGCAGAGGCACTTTGCAAAGTTTTGAGAACTTCAAGTCCACCAGTTGCTGAAGAACTATTCCATGTTTAGTTGAGAGTAAAGTGAACTTAGTCTACTGTTATTATAAACTATGATAATAATTGTGTTTTTATATGCTAAAAATTATTTCAAGAATTTATATGTGTCATAAAAAGTGTTATATCTTCAAGTTTAATCTTCAAAATATAATTAAATGAATTTGTAATAATTTCTAACTAACCATTCAATATTGGTAAATTTTGCATGCTGTTGTTGACTTTATCAATCTCATCTTGCCTCGGAGATAAATAATTGTCGGATATAGCGTCATAAAGATTAGCATTTTGTATACTTTTTAAATAATTCGACTGTTGCTCCAGAATGTTATTAAGTATCCATTTAATGTTTGCAAATTCTTTGATTAATCTATCTTCTAGACTTGCAAATTTTTCATCCATTATTTCTGAAAATAAATACGTTTTTATCGATAATTATCGTTTTAATGATAATTAGTTTTTTCTCTATGAGAGTAAAATCCCAGTAATTTTTGAATCGATAGACACAATCGAGCAATCGTCTTATGATATTGAGGCCAATAATGTCAACGATTAAGTAAATAATTAAGTAAATTTTTACTCACTTGCTTTACCTGTATCAGTAAGTACTGTAACAGTAACTCGTGCATTTGCAATTACATCTTCCTTTGCAATCTTACAAATGATATGTTGCGTTTCAGTGATATCGCTGGTTACATTATCCTCCAATTTTTTATCCATTATTTCTGGAAATAAATACGTTTTCATCAATAATAATTAGCTTTTTCTGTATAAGAATAAGATTATAATGTTAAATCGACAAAAACAATCGAGCAATTGTCTTATAATATGCGTTAATATTTTAACAATTTGAATGTTTATTTACTCGATTTAGTAAGTACTGTTGTAGCATGTGCATTTGCAATTACATCTTCCGTTGCAATTTTACAAATGGTATGTTGCGTTTCAGTGATATCATCGTTGGTGAAATTGGCCTCAATCACAGCTAAAAATTGCAATATGTTACAGATAAATCATACTTTTTAATAAACAACTAGATATTATAAACGTGCGCTGCGCGCGCGCTACTTATCTTTTTCAACATAAGTTCAAAAATTAATATAATACTATTATACTGTTATATTATAATATTTTAAACTTCTTGATACACAATTGTCAAAACGATCCTCTGTGAAATCAATACAATGATAACTATTCACGAAGCTAGCGTAGCGAGAGAATCAATAGGCACCAAGGAAAAGCGACGACAATAAAGTTCGAGAAATGCGAGTAATCGATGTTATGCCTTTTTTTAGAAAGGGGATACATAAAAAAATTGTAGGCAATTTTTTAAGAATATATTGTTAATAGAAAGAGTTTGTAACATATCTAATTTCATGATAAAACTTTCTTTTTTGAGTTTATAATTATAGTTTATTTTCTATATCTACAAATAAAAAATTGATTGCAAAATATTATATTGGATATAAATTTAATATTGTTATTTTTTATATTTTTATTTTTAATTGACATCAACTACCAGTATTATATCAATATTATAATTTCTCATTCAATAATATAATAATTGTATTGTTAAGGAAAGGATTACAATATATTGATATGATGTTACTATTATTTTGTTTATTGGATATCCAGTTATTTTAAGATTTATGAATAATTATTTTTTAATAATATATTATGTATAAAATAAGATAAATATAAAAGAAAAAAGAAGATATCTAAAACTTAATTTTGAAAATTATTTAAATAAATTTGTATAAGTAATTCAATATTGTAACTCTTTGAAAGTTTGTAACTGTTAAATATTATATTTATCTATAAAAATTAAAATTTTGAATGTTTCGAAATTTTCGAATGTTATGCAGTTTTAATAAAATATTTATATATTATAAAATTTATTTATATATTATATAATAAATGAATATTTTTATATTTATATATTATAAAATTTTTAATTAAATCGTGTTTTACCTAAAAACTATTAATACAAGATAAATAACTTGTTTCGCACTTACGCATTTTCCGTAAAGATTTACTCACACTATCGTATGTCAAATACAAAATGAGATAAAACAATAACAGAAAATAATGCGTGATTCTTGACATTTCGTTGCACGTTATGAATTCTTCACGATGTAGCCGAAATTATAGACTGCAGTGACTTCCATCTGCCCTCAAAAATAGATTTTATCATCTTATTGGCTGATGAGAAAGAGAGAGTGCATCAAAGAAAAATTACATAAAAGATGTAAAATATTTTGCAAAAATTTCTCATTGCGTAGCATGTATTTTTATAAGATTTTGATAACACATTATTTTTTAAACATTTTTTTTATTAATTGTGTTTATTATTTGGATAAATGTAAAAGTTTAGACCAAACTATGTGTAACATTAATAACATTAATAACATATGAAAATTGTAAAGAAAATTAGGGACCAAATTTCAATTATTATTTAATCGCTGATTCTTATTATTTTAACATAAAAATAAAATTTTTAATTGTTGATTATTTAGTATACGAAAAGAAGATTATTATAAATTATGCAATTTTGTTTTAAGAAATTCTACCAATCAATCGTAATCATCAGAATATAATTGAATTATTATCAATGTAAATATAAAAATAATAAAACTATATTATCAAAATACTAAAACAAAAATATAAATAAATAAAGTATAAAAAAAACAGTAATAAACAAAAATAATTTTAGCGTATAATTAATAAATAAAATTATGCATAGATATATGATCAAACGTTAGGAATAAAAAGAGAAGAGATGAAAAAATTAAAAAGGATTATGTGACTAAGAATGAAAATTCTATTGTATGAAATGTGCTTAAGAAACTACTTTGTGTGTACTTTAATGACGGCACTTTTAGGGTCTGTTCTTTTTAGTTGAATTGGCTGCACTAGTTCGGAGTTTATCTTTCTTCTTTCAGTGTAAGAAAGAAAAATAAACTGTGAACTAGTACAATCAATTCAGCCAAAAAAAACAGGCCTTTAATATTCGAGCGGGAGAAGCAGATTTCATTTGGGCCACTGTGATATTTAATTTTTTATTTCAGTTTGATTTATGCTAATTTTATCAGAAAATGGGCGAGAACGTGCAAGGGACGTTTGTGTCTGAGAAAATTTCCAAAATACGATGGCAGTACGGAAATTTTTCGGAAGCGAGGAATTTCTTAACCGGCAGTTGGGATAACTCGGTTAGACACTTAACCTATAAATTTATATTTTTAGATAAAACATGTATTTTTTGATATATTTTTCTGTAAATAAGTTTTATAATATTTCTGTACACTTAATAAAATTTTATGTATTTCAATTAACAGAAATTAAATAGAAATTAAATATATCATGAATCGAAATAGTTTAAAGCTCGAGCTTGAATTTGTCAAATTTTTTTATACAGGTAAATAAAATAACGTATTGGACATTTAGAACAAATTACGACGAGGAATTATATCCTGTAGTTTTGTCATCATACTCATTCCTTGGAGATGTTACTGAACTAAAGGTAATATATTATCCTTTTCAGATAAATTGATGATTTTTATCTTATATATCAAGAATTAACAAAACATGAATTTTCAGTTTATCAACAAAGATTTTTTCGTTGCTTCCTCATCTTTAGGCTCAATAAGATTGCTGCAAGTTGATGAGGATACTTGTATTGAATTTAAGGAACACATGGCATGGGAGTTTATACATAGCTTCAAGTAAGTAAATTTGTTTAAATCTTTTGCTTAATAAGTATTATAACAGTTTTAATAATGTATTTTTACAGAACAACAGATTATGCCTCTTGTACTGCATTGTCTACCTTTGAACAAGACATAGCGTCAGTAGGAGAAGATGGAAAGCTTAATCTTCTTACAGCTGCAGAGAAGAAACCAGTTAGAATTATCGGTAAATTGCAGCAATTTGTAACATATAATTTGAATATTGTATGTAAAAGAATCATTTTTCGTTTTGTCTTTAGAAAATGCTGATAGTTGCTCCATATATTGTGTCGATTTTTTAAAACACAATGAAGTGCTTACGGGAAATTCAAGAGGACATATGAAAGTTTGGGATCTGAGAAACGATCGAGATATACCTGCAACTACTTTTATGCTCTCTGATCAAGTTAAAGTAAATAGTTTTATGAAAATATGTTACTTCTAATTTCAATATCTTCAATTTTTTTAAATAATTTGTTATTAAATGACAAAAATGTTTTCACAGACAGCAGCTACAAGTATTACACATCATCCTACACAAAGGCATATTGTGGTCGCTGGTGGAGATGATGGTGGTTTAACCGTGTGGGATTTGAGACAGAATACTTATCCAATGTCGCAACTTAATGCACATAGCAAAGCTGTCAGTGAGATACTATTTCACCAAGACAGACCCGACAATCTTTTTACTTGTTCCGTCAGTGGAGAATTATGGCATTGGAACAATGCACAAAGTTCAAAATTGAAACTCGGTAAATAACAAAGAAAGTTCTTAATTAATAAAAATGAAATATGCAATTACAATTTAAAGAATTAATTCTAACATGGTTTTTTTGTGATGTTAGATTCCACAGACATGCATTGGTTGAATACAATTAGTACAAATGGAAAAGTTAACGTGACTTCATTGTGTGCTGCTATGCATAAGCCAATAAATAGCATCGACATCAATAGATCAACGCTGCTTTTTGGATGTGACAATGAAGCTATATATATTGTAAGAAATGTACTTATTTAATAATAATGTGTATTTTTTTATATCTTTATTACAACTTTAAATAAATAACTACCATCATTTCTGTATTTATTTTTTTTTTAATATTGATAATTCGTTCATTTGTATTGTGTAAGTATATACATGAAATTTATTTTTCCTTAAAAACTTTGTTGAACATCATGAATCTTTTGCATTAAATATCTTGGCTGTCAGACATATCAAAGTTTTATTAAAAATTATTTGTTTTGCTTATTAAAAGCCTACTAATCTATTAAGAAAAATGATCATTTAGATGCTTCTAACTATTTTTTTTCTAACTATTCTATAACAATTTTTTGCGCAAAATTAATTTTATTTCTCAGGTTTTTCTCTGTCTCTAAATATTTTTTTATCCTAAAGAGATATTTTTCTTTCTCTCTCTCCGTCTCTCAGTACAGCGCGCCGATCGCGAATATTATCAGCTCCATCTGCTGTCGCTTGCCTTTACCACAAAGACGGAAAGCTCTGAGCTGCTGCTGGCGCTTTGCTTGCCATTTTGACTGACGCCTCGCCTGGGATTTCATAAACAGTTTTGACTTCTGCTTGACCGCGTCTGGAGCGACGAGGACGCTATGTCGAAGCGCAGGATTGAAGTCGTAGATCCTTATGTCAAACGGAAAGCCACGTGAGTACACCGACCGTGTTTTCTCCAGTCGTGAACGACGCGCAACGGACAGTTGTTCACGGCTCCCCCCTTTGCCATGTGCAATATCGCGGGCTCGTGGAACCATGTTAATGCTTATCTCGTGCGATCGCACGCGCTAATATTTGCGTCGTGCGATCTGCATCCTGGCACATGCGCGTCATCCTTGGATGTCACCAAGGAATAATGAGACGATCGAATGTGACGGGTTCATTACTTTCAATGGTCCTCATCACTTCCGGCGAGGGAAACCTAAGTCCTTCTGTAACGGTTCTGGTCTAAACCGCTTCATATTTGCAATAAAAAAAGTTTTTAACAATCATCTCATTTGCAGATTATGTTATATTTTTAGTAAACACAAAGGAACTTTACATCAATATTATAATTTTTCACTTAGTAATATAAATGTAACATGTATGTAACAAATATGTTGCTGAGTAAGAAATTGTAATATTAATACATAATGTTTCTGTTACTTTGTATGTTTCATTGGATTAGTATGCACTACTTATATTTTTTTGCACACATCACCGTAATTTTTTTGATTTTGCACGAGTGTTGATATGTGCATTAATAATGTCTTAAGTCTATTCTATTTTATATAAAGATATATAGTATAAATTAATATGTATATTAACTTATATACATTTGTTAACTTATATATATTTGTTATAGAATATAAAATATTAAGTAATAATTGTTTTGCAGGGACAGCTCTGTATCCAACAATGCAACAACCACAGGGTCTACAGCGACAAAAAATCAGGTGCAGTTCAATCCATATACCATGCTGCCGTATACACCGAAATACTATGAACTTTATAAGAAAAGGATAACTCTCCCTGTATTCGAATATCGAACTGACTTCATGAGATTGTTATCTCAACATCAATGCATTGTTCTTGTTGGAGAAACAGGTTCTGGTAAAACTACGCAAATACCACAATGGTGTGTGGAGTATTCAAGAAGTATTGGAACTAAAGGAGTCGCATGCACACAACCTAGAAGAGTAGCAGCTATGAGTGTAGCTCAAAGAGTTTCGGAAGAAATGGATGTTGCCTTAGGTATGATAATTATTTATTATATTAATGACTTAGAAAATACTGTAATACAGTATCAAAAATGATATTTCAACAATAATAAATTAAAAAAAATTGATATAATTTTTCAACAGGTCAAGAAGTAGGATACAGTATTCGTTTTGAAGATTGTAGTTCGCCGAGGACAGTGTTGAAGTACATGACCGATGGTATGTTGCTTCGAGAAGGCATGTCTGATCCCATGCTGGATGCCTATCAAGTGATATTGCTAGATGAAGCTCATGAAAGAACGTTAGCTACCGATTTGCTGATGGGTGTTTTGAAAGAAGTGATCAAACAGAGACCAGACTTGAAACTTGTGATTATGAGTGCTACCTTGGACGCTGGAAAGTTTCAGCAGTATTTTGACAATGCACCGCTTATGAATGTACCTGGTAGAACACATCCAGTCGAGATATTTTATACACCGGAGCCAGAAAGGGATTATCTAGAAGCGGCGATTAGAACTGTCATTCAAATTCAGATGTGTGAAGAAATTCCCGGGGATCTTTTGCTGTTTTTGACTGGTCAAGAGGAAATTGAAGAAGCTTGCAAGAGAATTAAAAGAGAGATGGACAACTTGGGACCTGAAGTTGGTGAATTAAAGTGCATACCGCTATATTCGACACTGCCGCCGAATCTTCAACAGAGAATATTTGAACCTGCTCCGCCTACTAAACTTAACGGTGCTATTGGTCGTAAAGTTGTCGTGTCAACTAATATTGCAGAGACATCGTTGACTATCGATGGTGTTGTCTTTGTCATAGATCCTGGTTTTGCTAAGCAAAAAGTAAATATCTTGATTAAATTCTTAAGAATTTTTATTATAAATTTGTCTTTATTAATTTCTACTATTTTTTATCAATAGGTATACAATCCAAGAATTCGTGTCGAATCGCTTTTAGTATCGCCTATTAGTAAGGCTTCGGCACAGCAGAGAGCCGGTCGCGCTGGCAGAACAAGACCTGGAAAATGTTTCCGATTGTACACGGAAAAAGCATACAAAAACGAAATGCAAGACAACACGTATCCTGAGATTTTGCGGTCCAATCTTGGAAGCGTAGTACTGCAATTGAAAAAACTTGGTATTGACGATCTGGTACGTTTATTATAATATTAAAATAAAATAATGCAAAATATATCATTTAAATAATAATTGGTTATTTGCTAAACAATTTTATGATGGAAAAGTCGACTTTATCGTGTGCGTTATGCATAGGTACATTTTGACTTTATGGATCCACCTGCGCCTGAAACTTTAATGAGAGCTTTGGAACTTCTGAATTATCTGGCTGCTCTTGATGATGATGGAAATCTAACAGATCTTGGTGCAGTTATGGCGGAATTTCCATTAGATCCTCAATTGGCAAAAATGCTTATAGCCTCCTGCAATCATAATTGTAGCAATGAGATACTCAGCATTACAGCTATGCTCTCAGGTAAAGTATTGAGGTTTGCTATATAATAATGTTACGTAATTATTTACTAATCGCTTATTAATGATTTAATAAGTTTATTTTGCCTATAATAATATTATTTATTAATATTATGAAAGCCATATATAAAATATATAAGAGAAAATTCTAAAAGTAAAATAAAAAATAGAATCAGAATTGTGGTAAGATAACATGGTAGTATATTGATGATTGATATGGTATTAGTCCCACAGTGCTTTGTGAGACCGAACGAATCAAAGAAAGCCGCGGATGATGCAAAAATGAAATTTGCACATATTGATGGTGATCATTTGACACTACTTAATGTATATCATTCTTTTAAACAACGTAAGTATTTATTTTTATGTTTATTGAGAAACAATCGATGGTTTTATTTATAATGAATTTGCTTACAGATATGGACGACGTTCAATGGTGTTATGATAATTATGTGAATTATCGATCGTTAAAGAGCGGAGACAATGTAAGACAGCAGCTAAGTAGAATAATGGATAGATTTGTATTAAAGCGAACTTCGACGGATTTCAATTCAAAAGACTATTATATTAATATCAGGAAAGCTCTTGTCAATGGCTTTTTTATGCAGGTAACAAAATATTGATCTATACTGTAGCAAAATTTTTTATTATAGTATAATATTTTATTTCATATCTTAATTATATTCAAACAGGTGGCGCATTTAGAGAGAACGGGACATTATCTGACTATTAAGGATAACCAAGTAGTGCAACTTCATCCCAGCAGTTGCTTGGATCATAAACCAGAGTGGGTTATTTATAATGAATTTGTGCTCACTACTAAAAATTATATCAGAACAGTCACTGATATTAAACGTAAGTTTTTAAACGTATCTATCATATTATGATTAACACATATTTACTGTATTTTTTTCATTCTTGATTTCTTACAATTAGTAACTTTGATTTGATTTTTTCTTTTACACAATATTTTACTATATTTTTACAGCTGATTGGCTGCTGATGATAGCACCGCAATATTATGATCTACAAAATTTCCCTCAGTGTGAAGCAAAAAGACAACTCGAACTTACTCAGGCGAAATTAGATTCAAAACAGTATCAAGAAGGCTTCTAACCTCTATATACTTTAGATGTGTTTGGAAATCGCAAGAAGCTGTCAAGCATGCTCAGTCAAAATTTGCTTTTATCATGGCGATATAATTTTCTCACCTATACGGAATCACATCACATCACATATGAAACATCATGGGACACGTTATGAAGAATTCACTTTCTGTCCTTCACTTAAAAGGCACAGAAGTATATTGAAATATTTAGATTTTTTTTGTATAAGCTCAATGCTAGCTTGTACGATGTAAAAATTGAACATTGGAATATTTTCAATATTTAAGTCAAAAGAAAAAAAATGAAGTGGACAATTTATTAACCTGAGACACAGCAAAAGCGTAGTTAATCGATAAGAAGGGTTATTTATGTACATTTAAGAAAAAGATTAGTGTCTAAGTAATTTTAACGGTAGAATTCATTAATCGACGTTTACACTCGAATGCATTCGGAATTAGATATAATAGATTAATTTTTGTATTAAATGTTGACCATATATAATGCGAAGAAGGAATAATATAAAATGGCCACTACATATTATATATAGTATATATATATATAGTAAAAAAATAGTTATCTCGCATTTGCCTAAAGATTATTTTGAAAGGATATGTTTCTGTCATTGATAGCATGTCGTCTTTTTACTATGGTAACTCAAACATTTAGAAATTTCGTACTTTTTAATTTTTCCAAATTTAGAATATGTTGCAACGTATGTATGGCGACATTTTTACATTTTCACAATACAGTGAAAAAGTAATTACATGCTTATAACAATACACATAGTTAATTTCTGACTAAAAAGATAGCAAAAAAACAAAATTAAAGAGAAATATTTCTAGACTTACATCTGAAAAAATCAAATTAATGAAACAAATATATATTAATGTGATAAGAGCTCTAAGCACACATACACATCTACACGCAACACGGTGGCCAATTTATGAGAAAACATTCAGTGTAATAAAGTATCTTTATTAGCACCTGAAAGAAAAACTGAATTTGAGTATCCTATATGTTTATTGTTTATTATTGACATTCTACACATATTAACAATAAATGTACGGATTTTTTAAAACGAAAGATAGCATCAAGTAATTTTGACTCAATATGTGAATTCTATAATTGATAGCAGTTACTATAATTAGCAGCTGCATTTGTTTTCTTCTTTTCCTTGTATACTGAGATAAAATATTTTTTCGAGTTTGTAAACGTATGAGGATGAACGGATTTTTATAGAAACACAAAACTGATTGTAGTAAAATAATTTATTGCGTTATATATTTCATTCCAATAAACTCGAAACTTTTATCTCAACATTAGTTTTTATGTATTTCGTGTGTGTTAAGAATTTATATCAATATATTTATTGAATCAATAATTTAATTTTAATAATTTAGTAATATATCAATATATTGACATATAACATTACATTACATAATCGATCATAAGTTTGAAAGTAAGGAACTCTTAAGATGCTTTTTGATCTTACAAAATATTATGAATCTGAGTCGCATAAATGAACGTTTATCTATGGCTCGCGCTGATTTGTAATATCATTACGTTCCAAAACTCATCGAAAAGAAACGATTTTATCATACGCATTATTTTTACAATTTTTGTTTCGTCATACGTGATCTTTCTGGATGTAACGTTTCGTGACTCGGTCTTTTGCATGTAAGGAAGAAATAATTGCTCGTGAAAATTAAGAATTGTAATTATTATGTGAATTATCACCGCTCGTAAACGGTAGTGATTTTCTTTTCAATACTCGGCCGAAGTTGGTAAGAGTTTCCCGCGCGTGTTGTTTTCGACGCGTTTACCACCTGGCGGAATTACGCGTTGTACCAAGTAGTATCGAGAAGGGGCTTGAGACTGTTTGCTAGTTTAGTAATTTGTATTGTCAATTTAGGTCGTTTTATAAAATCCTGAGGTACTTTATAGACGTGCATCATGTTCAGTCTGAGCGAAATTGGCGAGCAATTGAAAGACGTAAGTCGAAAATCGGTCGGGGTCTCGTTTGCCGGTCAGTCGCTCGTGTTGGATACCGCGAGTGATGGTAAGAGACAATCTTTTTGATGACTTAATTTTTGTGTTAAGAGTAGATAATCATGCGAACTCAACGTTCTTGAGGTATACTTGTT